GAACCTTGCCTATATTTGGACCTCTCCACGTGGGCTAAAGAAACACAAACCAGTCATAAGCAAAGAATTAAAGAGGAACTCGGAGTTTGGGGCACTAGAGAGTCTGAAATTTGTACTTTTGGAGTGATTTTTGGTTGTTCCCATTTTTGTAACTCCTTCCTGAGGTGCAGCAGCTTCACCTGGRTGCTGGTTTTACCTGGAATTGCAGGTGATGGTTGAAAATATCCCATCGATGGCAGGATTTTATAGTTTCTCTGTATATTTATTGGAATGCTTGCTACTAATTTTAACTGTTTGTAAGAAGSTTTAAATTCTGAAAATAACCCCCTTGTTCCAACACAAATAAGGGTAAATTTTCAGTTGGGCATTGGTGGCTCTGAACATTCAACAAAACAGACAAACAYTAAGTTTAGGCCAATATTTTCCACAGAACACAGGCTGCAGTATAAATTCCAGTAAATACACAGCACAAGTTCCCAAAACAACTTTGTATTCTTTAATTATCTGTATTTCCCTGAAGGAGCAGGGAGGCTTCCAGCTGGGTGCTTGACCTGAGGATTTCCAGTGTCCTTTCTGATCTCGTGTAGGAACATCCCATCCAGCTTTTCCACAGAAAGTTTTTAAAACCTYGTGCCAGCTTCAATCAGCTGCTAAAATGCTTTATTTGTTTTGCATTTGATTCTGCTGTGTTTTATTGACTCTTTTTTGTTCTTGCTACTCTTTATTCAGCATCCACATCTGGAATATTTAGGTGTGAGGAGCTTTTTGTGTGTTGTCACCACCTCTGTGAGCTTTCAGAGTCTCTCTTTAGGGTTTTTTATTCTCCTCTAGCCTGGGGAAACGAAAGGATGAGGATAATGCTGTGATAATAAAAGCCAAATATCTTGTGGGAGCTTTGGGGATGAGTTGTGGGGTTTTTCTGGTTTCATCTTGTGACTTCTGAAATAATCCTACAGTGTGTGGAGGAGTGACAGAAAACACTCGGGGCTCTGGGGTTTTATTCACATTCCCTTGTTCCCAGAGCAGAGCTTTAGGGGTTTCATTTCTCCAGCATTCCCAGAGAATGCAGCAGGAGCTGTGAGAAGCAGGGAACCGGGCATGGAAATGTGGAAATTCTCTTTCCAGGCGGCAAATAAATGACATTTTATGGAGTGAATAAATGACATTTTATGGAGTGAATGCCGGGGTATATCCAGGCCCTTTTTGAGGGTCTATTTTCCAGGCAGGTGGAGGAGCTGGTAATTCCAGTTTGGGGAGATCTCAAGCCATGGTTTGGATGTTCCTTTGGAAAATGATGCTGCAGAACTCGGTGACACGGACGGGTTGAGCTGCAGGACAGACCCTGCAGCTCCTGTGTCATTCCAGAGGCACTTTGACGCAGCTCCTGGTGGGATCTGGCAGCTCTGGAGCTTTGGGAATGCTGTGCCAACCTTCCAGCAGCGTTGGGAATGCTGTGCCAACCTTCCAGCAGCGTTGGGAATGCTGTGCCAACCTTCCAACTGCGTTGGGAATGCTCTGCCAACCTTCCAGCTGCGTCAGGGAGCCTTCAGCTGGAACAATGGCACAGCCAGGAATGGAATTCCTGCGTCTGAGGTGTGCTCAGAGGGGCTCTGCTGCCTCTGGAAAGGTTCTTGTGTGCTGTCACTGCTCCCAGATCTCCCAGGATTTGTGCTCCTTCCTGGGTGTTCCTTGTCCCACACATCCCAGGATTTGTGCTCCTTTCCCTTGTCCCACATCCCAGGATTTGTGCTCCTTTCCCTGGTCCCACATCCCAGAATTTGTGCTCCTTTCCCTGGTCTCACATCCCAGGATTTGTTCTCCTTCCCGGGTATTCCTTGTCCCAGGATTTGTTCTCCTTCCTGCCTGTCCCCTGCTCCCACATCCCAGGATTTGTTCTCCTTCCCCAGTGTTCCCCATTCCACATCCCAGGATTTGTTCTCCTTCCCCAGTATTCCCCATTCCACATCCCAGGATTTGTTCTCCTTTCCCAGGTGTTCCCAGATCCCACATATCCCAGAATTTGTTCTCCTTCCCGGGTGTTCCTTGTCCCAGGATTCGTGCTCCTTCCTGGGTGTCTCCTGGCCCCATGAACTCTGCTCCTTCCTGCCTGTTCCCTGTCCCACACATCCCAGGATTTGTTCTCCTTTCCCAGGTGTTCCCAGATCCCACATATCCCAGAATTTGTTCTCCTTCCCGGGTGTTCCTTGTCCCAGGATTCGTGCTCCTTCCTGGGTGTCTCCTGGCCCCATGAACTCTGCTCCTTCCTGCCTGTTCCCCGTCCCACATCCCAGGATTTGTTCTCCTTCTTGCCTGCTCCCTGGTCCCAGATATCCCAGGATTTGTTCTCTTCCCCAGTGTTCCCAGATATCCCAGGATTTGTTCTCTTCCCCCCGGAGCTGTCCCTCTGTCACCCTCACGGATGAGTGGATTTTTTGCAGGGATGAACATCTGCTCCCTGGCAGCAGCATCAAACCTGCTCACCTGACAGGTGCCTGCTGCAAACTGCCTGAACCGGGCTTTTCTTCCTCACATTTTGATCTTTAATCAGCTTCCAGGAGCTGGTTTTAAACGCAGCCATCTCGTGGAGGGATAAAGCTGGAATTTCCCAGCTGGAAGGGGATGAGGTTTGGACAAATCTGTCCTGTTTTTCCTCGTTTTCTGAACACAGGGGTGAGGTTTGTCAGGGATTTACCACATCCTGGGGCTGGGGAGGTTCCTTGGTTTAATTGGAARGATGGAGGATTGGGAAAACCTTGTTCTAACTAAAAAGGGATGAGATGGCATCTCYAGGAACTGTAAAACAGGAACTTCACTCATGGCATCGCTAAAGAGGAATTTGGTGACTCTGAGGTGACTCCTCAGAAAATGACAGAGGGATTTTGGAAAGGGCAGCAAGAACTCCTTAAAATTGGGGTTTTCCTTGCGAGAACACCCAAGGAAGTTAATCCAAAGGAAAATAGAAATGGGAGCGTGGTTTTTGTTTGGTTTCACGTCATTCATGTGTTCTCTTTCATTCTGAATGAAGGTGTCCATGCAGGGATTTAATTGGCTTTAATGAAGACACTGAGAGTCACATCCTTAATTGGTTTAGGGTGTTCTCCTCTTCCAGGAACATTCAGAATGAGCTGGAGCTGAGGARTCAAACATCAGGGAGGTGATGCCTGTGGGGACATGGGGATGGTGGTGCTGAGATGCCAAAAATGTTCCCCTTTCTCACCTAAAAAAGTGTCCATCCCTTCCTGGATCCCGATATTCCTGCACAGGGGATCACAAACAGGCACAGCCAGAAATGCTGGACTTTGGGAAATGCATCCCGAGTTTGCTATTTAACTTTTCTAAAGCTGATATTACCCATTTCAAACCAGTTTATTTGTAGACTGTGGGATTTATAAGTTCTGTAATTAAACCGTGTCCGATCTGTGCATCAGGAGTTTGGTTCCTGCCTCTTTATTCCATCCTCCTTCCCCCCTTTTTATTCCCCTGAAACAACTTTCCAGAACTTCCCAAATCTGTAATTTGCTGTACAACAACCACATGGGGTTTTTTTTATTTTTTTTTTCTTAAATCCAGATTTTTTTCATGTTTCAAATGCTTGTTTGCTCAAATATGTTCCTGTGAATTTCTGGACACAAAGCTGTGCATGAACAGCGTGCTGTGGAATGCAGTGTCGTGGCACTCGAGGAATTCAGTGATYTCTGTACCAAGATGTTGTTTATTGGTGCTTTCTAAAGGTTGTTCTGGGTCTATAAAATTCTTTATAGAATTTCTGCTTCCCTCCCCATCCCACAGCAATCCTGGGGATGAAGCAGCTCTGGGARATCCCATTGGATGGGCCCTTCAAARGCTCAGACTYTCTTGGGCTGGGYTTATCCATCTGAATTTCCTTAGGTTTCTCTGGGCTGAAAGGATTTGTGTTTTGTTGGTGAATTTATCAGCTTTTTGTTGGTGTGGTGGCCAAGATTCTTCGCTTATGGGCTGAGAAATGTTTTATGAGAGATGATAAACTCAGCAGGTTTCAAATTATTTAACTCTTGCTGCTTAAATCAAAATATCTGTTCCTCTAATCCATTGGAAATGCATCCATGGATTTTGGGTGACAATAAAATCCCCCTTTGGGTTTGGTCTCCCGAATTCCTGGTGCTTTTCCCATGGAATTGTGTCTCCYCTGCACGTGGCAACATTTTCACTTCTAAATGACACTTTCAAGCAATTTGTAAATTCTTTTGTCCCTTTGGAAGCTTTGAAGTGGGATCCTGTGAGCCCCCTGGAGCACAATTCCCATCTTGGAATGGATTTAGGAAATAAAACCCAGCCCAAGTTCTGCTGGAATCGGAGAAATCCAAACTCAGCATGGCTTGGATTTGTTCTGTTTTTTTTCCCCTTGAGTTAAAACCTCTGGTGAAACGTGGAATAGAGAAATTTTTGTGATCCCTAAAATCACAGCGAGGCAAAAAGGCTGAAATTCAGCATTTTTGAGCAGTTTTGGAGCTCCCAGGAATGGGATTTTTTTAGGTGTAAGCAGCTGAATCTGGAGGAAGAGGGCGATTGTTGAAACAGCCAACGTAACAACACGATTTTGCAACGGAGCTGCAGTTTGCTTTTCCAAAGGATTGCCAGCTTTCTCCTGGAAAAAATTCGCTTTGCGTCCTCTCAGGCCGAGAACTGGAATCAATTTTCCCCTCAAGTGTCCATTTTTTTAACTCCAAACTTACATAAGCACCAAAGTTGGGCTGTTCTGTGCCCAAAATGTGCCCAAAATGTGGTGGAGGGGTTGGGAGGAACCCAACTCTGAGTTTATTTTGTCCCTTTTTCCAGGTACAAATCATTGCTTCAGGATTTCTTTAATTTCCTTCCTTGAATTACATATTTCCCTGAGCTTTTGCCCTTTAAAAAAAATATAAAGAAGCAAAAAAATCGGGTGAAAAATCAAGCTGGATGTATTTTGACAGTGAACTTTGGAGCTCKGAGGTAATTTTGGTTTTTCCACTTGTTTTTTCTAGGATGCTGTGACGTCAAAACCAGTGATCCAGTTTCAAGGAAGCCAAGGGGTAAGTTTGTCCCTGGAAATTCTTTGTTCATTTAATGGAAATGAGGAATTTGTGYTGTTGCAGCTCAAGGAATGATTTTGGCATTGCTGAAAGCAGCAGATTGAGCTCCAGGGSTGCCCCAGGAAGGTTTTTCCTCATGGATTCTCTCTCTCTCCAAAACCTTTTTTTTTCCATCTCTTTGTTTCTTAACCTCGCTGAATCCATGGGAAATTCTGATTTTTGAGGCCGTGCTGTTGGGTAGAACAGGAAATGGTGCAGAAATCCATGGAATCCTCTTTCATCCCAAGAAAACCCCATGCCAACCCCAATCCAAAACTTTTCAAATACCAATTCCTCCCAGAGCAGCAAAACCTGCAGGCTGCTCTACCTCTGGAGCTTTATTTAACATCATAACTGCAGTTSTGGGAGCAGCAGAAGTTCTTTCTGATTTTGGAGTTTTACTTCCCCAACTTGTGTTCCGATGACAGAGCTGTGGATATTTTTAGCCCCTCCAACCAGTCTGTCGTGCCAGTTGCTGACAAYGTCGAGATTTACGTGGTGGCGTTTCTGGTAAAGCAATGCAGCCCTTCAGTGAACTTGAAAAAATGTCATTTAGATACCTTTTATTTCTAAAAAAGCCCTGTTTCACTTTAGTCACTGCGTAAAGAAGGAAAATTTAAATTTTTTTTTTAACGAGCTGAACTCAGCTGTGAATAACTTCTGATTTTTTTATTTTTTTTTTATGCACTGGCACATTAAAGCTTTCCAAAAGGCTTGGATTGAGTGGACATTAAATCCAGCACTTTGTCCTTGCCCACATCCTGCGTTGGGATTTTATTCTCACYAGCAGTGCATAGAAAATGCAGCAGGAAAGACATGATTGTTATTGTAAGTTAAGAAGAAAAATGAAAACTTGGGGAGTAAAGAAAGGAGCAGCTTCCAGGTTTTTTAAKTTTGTTTAGAGTTAAACTTCCCCAACAGCTCAGCATGAAAGCTGAGATCAAAATCTGCCACGAGGTTGGGCACAGTCAGAAGGGAGGAGGGAAACTTGGAGGGTGGGGGATTTGATTTGTTTTTATTTGATGGAATAAAGGAGCCATAAAAACTGGGAATGTTCCTTTGGAAGCAGGATCTGCACCTGCCTTTTCCTCTGAAGCTGCTTAAGGTGTGGAAATGCCTCCTCTGAATGCTTTTCCTTGAAGGAAACGGAACAAAAAGAATCAGAACAGCTCAAAATGCTCCCATTGCCCTGAGGAGGATCCTCCTGGATCTGATATGGACAAGGATTAACAAAAAATATCAATTTGATTAACAAAAAATATCAATTTTAAATGATGCAGTTCCTTGGGAGAATTGAGAACATCTTCAGATGCTGCAGTTGCTTCTGGATTAACAGAATCTATTAGAATAATTACAGTCATTAGAATAATGTATAATAACTGAATATATTTAATATAATAATGTGATATAATAATGTAGAATATA